GCATACATCTGAGTTTTTAAAACAAGTTTCAATATACATTCAAAATAAGCTTCAACCTACACTTAAAACAAGTTTTAACACACAATTATGAACTAGATGGCTCTTGAGCTCGTCACTCTCCTCTTCTCTCTTGAAACTCAAGCTTTCAACCATACCAATTCCCTGAAGCTGCCAAGGTTTTTTCACTAACACCCACTACCAATTCTCCAGGCTGCTCCTGGTTTTCCTCCTGCTTCACTGGCTATTTTTTGTCTGCTAAATATGTTGATTCTCTCTTATCTCCCCAACCTCCAAACCCTGGGAGTACTCCAGGGATCACTGCTTTTCTCTCCTTTGTTTACCCTCCCTTACTTAGTAATCCAGTCCATTCTTAACTTTGAATGCCATCTAAATGCTAATGACTTCCAAATTTATATTTCCTGCCAGGATGGTTCCCCAGCAGTCAAATGCCTCTGTAACATCTCCATTTAGTTGTTTAAGAAGTCTATCCTATTTTTCAACTCCCAAACTGAACTTCTGAATTTCTCTTGCACTCCCAGAGGGCTCTTCCCACAGCCTTTCCCAGCTCAGTAAGCTATAACTCCATCGTTCCTGTTACTTAGACCAAAAATTTTGGAGTTAACTGAGACTCCTCTCTTTTTCACACAACTCACATCTAACATATCAGCAAATTTTGATGGTTTTACTTTCAAAATATTTTCAGCATCCAGTCACTAACATTTTATTATGTATCCCAACCACCATTCTCTCATGTATTATTGCAAAAACCTCCTTATCTGGATTCCACATTTCCACACTTTCCCTCATTTTATGACCTGTTTTCAATGAAATACTACAGGGTAAACTGTATAGCATTCAAGGGCCTAACCAGAGATGGAATTTATCCCACATGGGTAAATTCTTCACTCACTAAAGAGTCTTTAATGGAATGACCACTTATTGGGCAAGAATAAGAAAACAAAATGAAACATTCAAAGAGTAGAAATAGCTAAAAGCTGTTACCACCCTTGGGGCAGAAGATTCAAGGGTAGGAAATAATGTTCTGAACCTCAAAGAGACCTGCAATCCTAGAAGAAAAATCACCTGTCAATTTTTCCAAGATGGTAGATTAAAGGCTTTCGAGCATGCTTCATCCGTTGAAACATTGTGAAATTGTGTGGAAAAACCAACACAGTGAACTCCAATTCAAGAAGGAAAATGGCTATTCACCAGAATGACAAAGAACACCCCATTCTCAGGGAGGAGAAGATAGGCAAAAAGCCCCTGTGAAAAAATGTGAGTGTGAAACTGAAAACTCCCTCTGAGATATACCTTCCAATTGGGGATCTGCAAAACTAAGACCATGGGATAACACCTCATTTCTCCTGTGCCCTGGAGGAGCTGTCTTGGGGGAGGCCAAAAGTTGGTGAGCAGGAAAGATGTCTAGTAAAGCCCGAGGTGCTCTCCCAAATCTGTGTCTGTGAGGAAGATACCATTTTTGATGGGGGTCCATTGTCACAGCAACAGTGGTCTCTACAGGTACTTCGGTTTCTGCAAGCCAGTTGGCTATGAAGCAAGGGAGGGACTTAACACAATCAGAACAAACCAAGAATGTGGATATGGCCCAGGGTTTAGAAACAGATCTGGGCTCATTTCAGTCTGCACCTGGGACAACCAAGGAACCCCCCCAAAGCCACGTTTCCCTCCTGAAGGGTTAGGGTGTCAGGGGTCAGATCTTTGATCTGGAATCCATCTGTGTGTGTCATTTCCTAGGTGTGCCCTACCCTGCCTCATCTCTCTGGACAGTCACAGCAAGGGGCCCTAGCAATACCAAGGAATACTCAGAATGACAGCCTAATCACAAAAGCCTAGCAGAGGGCCCCCACTTCCATACTCTGAAACCTGCATCCTGAACAGGAGAGTTGTCATAGCCACAGTTTCTCGTGAACAGTCCTACAGTCTATGTCAGTTTTGCTTTCTGGAACTCTTCAGCAAGCACAACTGTTAAGAATCTCAGCCTCCCTCCCAGACTAGCTGGGGTGGCATGTTCCAGAAATACTGAAGAAAAAGAGGGCCCTCCACTTCTTCACAACTAGGAAAGCTGTCTAAGTGACAGGAGACCAAGAAGAGGGAGCTCCCTTCTCCGCATTTGAATCAGCAACCTGAGTGGCAGGAAAGTTCCTGACCCTGTAGTTTCTCCCAGGTAGTGAGGTCTGAAGTCAAGGTCAACTCTGTCACCCAGAATCGAGCTGCAGATGTCAATGCAGGGCATCACAACCTTCCCCTAAGTCTTTCAGGGAAAGTCTGCCCCCTAAGTCTGTCCCCAGCTCCAAAAATCAGGTGGCCCCCATCTCCACACACCAAGAGCAGTAGCCTAAGCCATCTCACCCTTCCTGGGCAGTCATCCATGCTCAAGAGGCCTCCTGTGCTCCATGTCCTAATGCACCTAATAACCTGGAGTAGGATCCTTAGTCACCCCTCCTCCTAGGGGTAGAGTCCTTGGTGCTGTGATGCTTTCTCTGCTCAATGCCCAGACATATCCCAGGTATCTGGCGCTCTCAGTTTTCTAGACTAGGAGCTCAGGCCACCCTCCCTTTCCTGAGCAGAGAACTCAAGGCAGCAGAGGTCCCCTAACATCTCACTGAGGCACATCTCTAGATACTCAGAGGCCACACACCAGATCCAACCTCAGAGCAGGTGTCTGTGCCTAATGTCAGTATACCTGTAGGTGGGCCTGCCTTGTTTGGTCCCACCCATCTTGATTCTCCCCTCTTCAGAGCTGAACTGGGACCACAGACCACAGTGCACTCCACTGAGATGACAGATTCTTCAGTAAATAAGGATCAAGTGACTACCCATCCATATCAACAGTAGCCAACCCTTACCTATAGGTGCCCCTGCTGGCCTGAAGGTTGAATGATGCATCACAACAGGTAATTTGCTCACACCAGCATATACCAAAAAGGAAGAAGTTAAACCTCCTGAGACCCCCAGCACCCTAGCCTCACAGGACTCAGTGGACCAGCCTCCACCCCAACACAATCTCTATTACAACCAAAACCTGGGAAAACCTACACACACAGGTCATCTATATCAAAGGAACTCATACATATTAGCCACCATAGTTCATTCAGATGAGAAAGAACCAGAGAAAAATCTCTGAAAGTATGAAAAAACAGTCTTATGCCTCCAAAGGGGCTCATCAATTCTTTAACAGCAGAACCTATTCACAATGAAATTCTTGACATGTCAGATAACAAATTCAGAATACTGATTATAAAGAAGCTCAGTGAAATGCAAGATAAAGCTGATAACCAACACAAAGGAATTAGTGTAACAATGTA